TTCTAGTCCCATCTTAGGCGTTAAAGACAGCTGGGTGACTTTAGGCCAATCACCAGGAGACAGTGAGTTCTAGTCCCACCTTAGGTGTGAAAAGGCAGCTGGGTGACTTTGGGCCAATTACTAGGAGACAGTGAGACCCAGTCCCATCAAACTGGATACATGAGTTTGGGCCAATCACCAGAGGACAGTGAGTTCTAGTCCTGCCTTAGGTATGAAAGCCAGCTGAGTGACACACACACACACACACCCCTCTAAAGCACAGGCTAATTGTTGTGGGGCAAAGAGGAACAGGAAGGTGTGCTGGGTATGTCCACCAGCCTGAGTTATTTGTAAAAATAATAAAGGCAAGGATAAAAATAAACCAATAAAAATAGGCCCAAGCTGCATAATGACTGGAGAAAGAGGGTCAATAGGGCGACACACCCCTAAGTGTAAAGGAGGAGCTGGGAGAATTGTTTGCTTCCGACGTGCATGATTGTGTGAATGTAGCCTTGCAATGACTTAACTCACCTCATTGTGTTTCGTTCCCGGCCTATCTAGGAAGGATGATCATCTAGCAATTCAAAACTTCATTGATTTCAAAAATTAGGTCTTTTCCTAGTACCGAAATTCATCTCTCCAACATGGGTTGGAAAAAGGGCCAAATATGTGCAAGGAAAGATTTAAGCACATGCATGCACACAATGTTTTATCTTCGGCTGCACACGAACATGTTACCTTCGGTGCACTGGAGGTCTTTCAGCACCAACTTGCTCTTCAGATGGGATCCCATCTATCTATTAAAGGGTTTTTTGTGTGTGTTTTATTTCTAAATCGCCCATTAGCTGCTTGAAAGCCTGCAAATAAATAGCCTGGCTGTGTTATGCTTACCTCGACTAAGACTTCGAACGCATTAGTGCGCCAGATTGCCTGCCATCCGGAAGGTTCAAGGACCTTTTCCAAATATTCCGCTGTAAATTCTTTCACCTCTGAGGCTTTGCAGTCAGCTAAAAAATTAAACCAGGGACACAACATGTTTTTGCTGGGCTTTTTTTTTTGCCTGCGCTGCTCCTGTTACCATCATCATCATAATCGTCACCAGACTATAAATGTCATGACACTGTAGCGACTATAATCTGTCACTCTCTGTTGTGCAACCAGTTTTAATTTCAAAGTTTCCCAAATGTGCTTTAACCTCAACACGGAAAAACTAGTTGTAAATGATTGTTCTAAAAAGTTATGGGAACCTAACCACTTTTCTGTAAAAGAGACGGCAGATTTATCGTTGCAGACTTGCAAGATTCTATCATTTGAGACTTATAAAATAAAATAGAATTAGCCTGTCCGGATTACCTGGGCAGCTGATACTTCTACAAAAATGGCATACGAATAAATAGAATAACAAAATACCAAGGGGTTCAATTCTGCAAGGATATAAGATTCCGGTGAGCAACTTTGCATTTCCTGCGTCGGATGAGGAGAGCACAGCTTTCTCCTTCTGTCCTGGCCACTTTTTACAGAGGCACGATGGAGAGCGTTTTGACAAACTGCATCCCTGTTTGGTTTGGTGGCCGCAGTGCCTCAGATAGAAAGTCCATAGAGAGAGTGGTAAGGACAACCGAGAAGATTATAGGAAGCTCGCTTTCTGTTATTCAGGATACTGCTTATAAGCGCTATGCACTTAGAGCTCAAAGCATTGTTAGAGACCCCACTCACCCACTCCACGGTCTGTTTCTGTTGCTCCCCTTTGGGAGGAGGTTTCAAAGTATTTCTAGCAGGACTACTAGATTCTGGAACAGCTTTGTTCCTTAGGATGGCATTTGTAAACTCATAGGATTCTTTTTTCTTCACTAAGCATATGTATATATTCAAACTAGACTGTGGTATAGTATAGTATAGTATAGTATAGTATAGTATAGTATAGTATAGTATAGTATAGTATAGTATAGTATAGTATAGTATAGAAAATGGAATAAGAATAGGATGGGATGGGATGGGATGGAAGAGGAGAGGAGAGGAGAGGAGAGGAGAGGAGAGGAGAAGAGAGGAGAAGAGAAGAGAAGAGAAGAGAAGAGAAGAGAAGAGAAGAGAAGAGAAGAGAAGAGAAGAGAAGAGAAGAGAAGAGTATAGAATAAAATAGAAGAGAAGAGAATAGGAAAAAATAGAATAGAATATGGACATAAGAATAGAATTAGAATAGAATAGAATAGAATAGAATAGAATAGAATAGAATAGAATAGAATATGGACATTAGAATAGAATAGAGTAGAGTAGAGTAGAATTAGAATTAGAATTAGAATTAGAATTAGAATTAGAAGAGAAGAGAAGAGAAGAGAAGAGAAGAGAAGAGAAGAGAAGAGAAATCGACAGAGTTGGAAGGGACCTTGGAGGTCTTCTAGTCCAACCCTCTGCTTAGGCAGAAAAACCCTACACCATTTCAGACAAATGGTTATCCAATCCAAGATATTTTGGGGCACAACTGTGATCATAAGAGATGTAAGAGATAGGTGAATCCAGACCACCAGAAGTTTAAAATCACTCACCTAACATATAGTCCTGGTAGGTCTTGAATCTCTCATAGAAGAGGAGGTTGTGGGTCTGGAAGGTGTCTGGAATTAGAGCTTTCGCATCTGACACAAGCCTCTGCAAAGTTGTTCCAGGCCTGTCGTGACTCCCATAGTCACTGCAGCTGCTGTCCTCGCTGCCCTCACTCTCGTTATCTTCGTCTAGTAGCAAAGGGAAAAGACATTCACCCCCTCTTAGCAAGGGTTCACATATGCATGCAGAATACTTACCTTCGACTGCGGCTAGTATTCTCGTTTAGTAACTGCCTTGTTTAGTTACTTTATTGTCATTGCACCTCGTACAATGAAATTAAATACCATCTTCAGTGTACATTATGACTATGAAAATAAACACAAATCCACACATCCTTCGCATTCTATACACTGAATGGAAAACCCTGATGTTTCATTAATATTGCATTGTACAACAGAATTCAACAGAGCTACTGCCCTGGGATAGAAGCTGTTTTTCAGCCTATTTGTCCTTGTTTTTTATTATCCTGTACCGTCTGCCAGATGTTAATAGTTCCAAAAAAGGATGCCCAGGATGAGATGGATCTTTGAGAATGTTTTGAACTTTCTTAAGGCAGCGGGAGCCTTATGAGCATGATGCCATTTAGTGCTATAACAGTGATGAAAAAGTAACTTTGCAACCAATCTTCACAATTTGAACCTTTGCGAGTCCGTAGAGCAAAGGAAAACCATAAGCCACAGTCACAGTTTCACTTAGCAACAGATTTGATTCACCACCCGGCTGTCAATCCCAATTGTGGTCACTAAAGGTGAACTATCTGAATTATTATGGTCAGTTTGTTGTAGTGGTCAAGGTACCGGGCTAGAAATCAGGGGATAAAAAGTTCCAGTCCCACTTTAGACACGAAGCCACCTGGGTAACCTTGGGCCAGTCATTCTTTCTCAGCCCTGGGAAGGAGGCAATGGCAAACTTTGCCAAGAAAACTGCAGTAACCTGTCTAGGCAGTTACCAAGAATCAACATTGAGTTGAAGACAGCCCCAAAATTATTTGTAATATATAAAAGGTAAAGGTTCCCCTCGCACATCCGCGCTAGTCGTTTCCGGCTCTAGGGGGCGGTGTTCATCTCCGTTACAAAGCCAAAGAGCCAGCGCTGACCAAAGACGTCTCCGTGGTCATGTGGCCGGCATGACTAAACGCCTTCGAAGGCGAATGGAAGGCTCTGACCTTCCCACCAAAGGGGTCCTTATTTTTCTACTTGCATTTTTTACCTGCTTTTGAACTGCTGGGTTGGCAGAAGCTGGGACAAGTCACGGGAGCTCACTCAGTGACACGGTGCTAGGGATTCGGACCGCCAAACTGCCGACCATTCTGATCGACAAGCTCAGCGTCTTAGCTACTGAGCCACCACGTCCCTTTTGTAATATATCCTGTTTTTGTACTATATCCTGTCGTGTTGTTCTATTATATACACATGAAATCACAACCACCAGTTCATTAGCTATGTTGGCAGTACGCATCAAATTCTTACCCACAATCAAGCCTAACGTAATGTATCCTTGTAAGGTATGTGTGGATCCAAACAGTGTGGCCTTTTGTAATTGATGATGGAAATTGTGTCAATGCCCAGCTTTCAAATTGCTCCCTAAGATTTTTGGGTATAGCACCCAATGTGCCAGTAATTCAGTGGCGGGATTCAAAAAAAATTACTACTGGTTCTGTGGGCGTGGCTTGATGGGCGTGGCAGGAGAAGGTTGCTGTAAAATCCCCATTCACTCCCCACCCCACTAACCTGCTTTCCAGCTCTGTTCTCCTGTGCAGGGCAACCAAAGAAATCCAGCCAATCAGCTGGGACTCGGGAGGCAGAGGATAGATGGGGTTTGCGGGGCCAGTCAGAGGTGGTATTGGCTGCTTCTCCAAACTACTCAAAATTTCCACTACTGGTTCTCCAGAACTGGTCAGAACCTGCTGAATACCACCTCTGCAGTAATTCCTGAGACCACCACACCCAATTTATGCCACAATTTTTCAACTTTGATTTTTGTTAATTATATTCTCTTCATAACATTGTGAAATCACAGTTGCCACTTCTTTTAACTGGTGCTGGCCTTCATATCCACCGAGGCCTTCCCAACCCATTACTAAAGTTAGAGTTGGTGGCACCGACAGTCAGATGTTTCACCTGCATTTAGAATTTATTTCTGACCGAAAGTTGGCTCAGCCTTCCATCCTTCCGAAGTCGGTAAAATGTTGGGGGCAATATGTAATTAATGCTTCTACATTTCAATTTCAATTCTATTTATTACAGTCCTAGACCAGAGACCAGAACAAATAAAAACACTCAGTAAATCTACAATTGAAAATTCTAGAATAAAATAATAAATAACAGGATAAAAATCTATGACAAAATCCAGTCTGTCAATTCCACATGGACTAAAATTACAAACCATAAATGGTGTGGCCGCATGGTAATTGACAGCCTGGATTTTATCATAGATTTTTAATGTTATTATTTTATTCTAAAATTAATTGTAGATTTACTGAGTGTTTTTACTTGTTCTGGTCTAAGACTGCAATACGCTGGATTGAAACTGCTTTTAAGTTGTAAACCACCCAGAAAATCATTGGGCCAATATACAAGCCTAAATGCTATTGCTATTCTCCAGTTTGCTGTAGGGCAGTAAACCACTTCCGAATTTTTAAACGAAACGCCAAAACTGCCAGGAGCCGAACCGACAGAACAACTGAAAATTGGAATTAAAGTGGAATTTAGCTGCGGGGTTAGAGAGGCTCGAGCGAGGCTTGGAAGAAGAGAGTCTGGCAGCGAAGAGGGAGGACAAATAACCCTTACCTGAATTAAGATCTTTCGCGATTTCCTGGCTGCTGCCGGCGGCCGGTACGGGCGTCAAGGCGGCTTCTGTGAACCGGTTGTTGTCCTCTGGCTCCGGCTCCGGCTCCGGCTCCGGCTCCGGCTCTACCTCGGGCCGGGCTTCCCTTGCCTCTTCCCCGGTGGTTTCTGCTGCCCCTGCCGCTTCTTCCACCACGGCCATCCGCGATTCAGCCTCCCCGGCTGCCTCCCCTCCGCTCGGCTCTTCCATCGCGCCGCTGCCGCCGCCCAGGGCCCTTCGCTGTAAATTTCAAACTTCGCGCCCTGACGTCACTCTCAGGGCATCTGCGATTGGCCCGAACGAGGGAAACTCCGGAAGCGGCGGAACCAATCGGCAGGCAGGTAAAAGGAGGCGCGGTTAGAACGTCCGTGGGGGGACGGGGGGGGGCGGGGAAACGTTGAGAGGGGTTGCCCCGTTCCATAGGGGCGGAGCTTGAAGGGAGATCAAAGGCGGCAACTTTGAAATTGAAATGGAGGTGCCGGAGGGAAACTGAGGAAGGAAAAGATTAGCAGGGTGAAAATATGAACTGGGAAGGAGGGGAAATGCTGCCCGCCGGCGCCGGGGAAGAGGCTTCCTTCTTCTTCCAACGCGCTGGAGGATTTCCTGTATTCTTACTCATGTTTATACTTACACCTGTTAGCTTTGTAAGCGATTGACAAATCAAATAAATAAAAATAGATAAAAATAAAATAAATGATGGGAATTGTAGTCCAGGAATTGTGGAGGAAGCCCGGTTGCAAAAGTCCCATTTTTCTAAGTTGCAGGTCAGGATTTTGACTGGGTTTATTTATTTATTTTTATTTTATTTATTCTGTCAAGCATGCATTTGATAGAATAGAATAGAACAGGAAAGAATAGAATAGAATAGAATAGAATAGAATAGAATAGAATAGAATAGAATAGAATAGAATAGAATAGAATAGAATATGGACATAAGAATAGAATAGAATAGAATAGAATAGAATAGAATAGAATAGAATAGAATAGAATAGAATAGAATAGAACAGGAAAAAACAGAATGGAATAGAACAGGAAAGAACAGAATAGAATAGAACAGAACAGGAAAGAACAGAATAGAATAGAATAGAATAGAACAGAACAGAACAGAACAGAACAGAATAGAATAGAATAGAATAGAATAGAATAGAATTCTTTTATTGGCCAAGTGTGATTGGACACACAAGGAATTTGTCTTGGTGCAAATGCTCTCAGTGTACATAAAAGAAAAGATACATTCATCAAGAATCATAAGGTTGAATATATATGTATGTATGTACGTATGTATATATAAACATGATTATGAACACATGAAATAGATATGAATAAAAGAGAACATTAAGACAGGGACGGTAGGCACGTTGGCACACTTATGCATGCCCAGTGGTGGAATTCAATTGTTTTTACTACCGGTTATGTGGGCATGGCTTGATAGGCATGGTGTTGCTTGGTGGGTGTGGCAGGGGAAGGTTTCCTGCAAAATCTCCATTCCCTCCCCACTCCACTAACCTGCTTTCCAGCTTGGTTCTCCTGTGCAGGGCAACAAAAGAAGACCCAGCCGATCAGACAATTTTGTGTACTAAGCTTAGGTCAGACCAAAGGCGGTGTTAGTTCTAGCTTGTCCAAGCCCAAAATTTCATTATATCTTGTGTTATTTTTTTTGTAGTTGTTTTCTTTTAGGATGTTTTGGAATTTTTTAAAATGCTAATTAAAAAGTTTTGAAAATTATCAAGGTATTCTTCCGAAGTCAGACTGAGCTGTTTTGTGTCCTGGTTAAAAAGAAAGCCACCGTGTTTGCTCATGTTAGCTAATCCATGGTTAACTGAAGCTGAACTAAGTAAACTATCCAGGTTTGTACAACTAATGAAATCGGGCAACACACAATTTAGCTGCATTGAATTGTGTGCACCCAGCCCATATATACTCCTTGACTTTCCAGGAATGAAGGAATGGAGAGAAAAAAAAAAATGTTATTGTGCAATCAAATTATTCCAGCCACAAGGGGGCCATGTAACATTTCAAACTAAAGACTACCGGAACTTTCTGCACTTTGGTTTGAGATGGGGATAACACAGGCTTATCCCCAACAGCCTGCACCCGGGTTCAACAGTGAAGAGACACAGGGCAGAAAACATCCTGCAGAAAACACAGCTCCCCATCACAGCCCTTTCAGCCATTCCAAGAAGGCTCCATTTGCGCTACTCCGGTAACCCTGAGGACGCAGACAAACCTCCAAGTGGCCTCAACGGCTCTCTAAAAAGGATGCAAACGACCAGCGGCCTGCAAGGAATATAAATCCTTCCATTCCCCAACAATCCGGTTAGAGCTGAAGAGGCTTCTTGGATGAGAAGTGAAACGTCTTCAAAGAAAAAGTCATTTGCCTCTTGAAAAAGCACCTTTGTCTCCTGCCTGAGCAGGAGGTTGAACTAGAACAGTGGTGACTAACCTTTTGGGGCTGCTGTGCCAAAAACTGTGCACGCGCTTGCATGCTCGTGCTCACGTGCCAGCACCCAGAAGGCAATGCGCAATTCCCCCCACCGCCCTTATTTATTTATTTATTTATTTATTTTTGTCAATTGCTTACAAGATAATAGGTATAAACATAGTTATGAATACATGGATACATATAAGAAAAATAAAAGAAACAATAGGACAGGGACGGTAGGCACGTTGGTGCGCTTATGCACGCCCCCTTACCTGCACTGCGCCTCACAGCTAATTTTCGGCTGGTTTGAGGCCTTTTTTCGGCCTCCCAAAGGTTTGAGGAAGGCTTCTGCAGGCTTCTACAGGCTTTGCAGGCCGAAATCTAGCGCTGTTTCGTCACTTCCGGTATTTTTGGAAAAAACAGGAAGCGACAAAACAGGGCTAGTTTTCGGCCTGCAAAGCCTGCAGAAGCCTCCCTCAAGCCTTTGGGAGGCTGAAAAAGGCGCACGCATGCCCAGTGAGGTAAGTTTGCCTGCAGCTTGCGTGCTGACACAAATGGCTCTGCGTGCCACCTGTGGCATGTGTGCCGTAAGTTCACCATCACGGGGCTAGACGATCTCCAAGGTCCTTTTCAACTCTGTCATTCTGTAAATGGAAAAAAAAGTGACATACTTAAAACCTTTGCAAGCATCCCTACAGTTACATAATCAAAATCTGGGCACATAGCAACAGGCATGTGTTTATTGAGGGTTAAATCATCAATGTGATTACCATTTGCTTCCAATAAGCAAAGTCAGCAGGGAAACCAGATTTGCTTAACAATCATATGTTCTCTTAATCACAGCAACAACAAAAAAAAGGGGTCACAAAATTTGGCACAACTGATTTAACAATTGCCTCACTCAGCAACAGAAGTTCCAGGTCAGTTGTGATTATAAATTGAGGGTTACCTTTCAAAATAAGGAGAAAGCCCATGTCCTCCCATTCACACTTTGGAAGGTAAATCCCAAAACACAAGAACCAGGCATTGGTTGGGTGTTTTTGGACTTAATATGTTGCATGCATAAATCCAGCTCTTGTAAACTAGTGTTAACCCTTCAATGCATGAAAGTACCCACTGTGGCTTGTTCAATAAACCATGGTTTAGCCAATGTATCCACCCAACTGTTTGCTCTGAATTAGTCCAGAGAGCAAATAATCAGAAGAGAAGGCATTTATTCATTTATATATGTATAAAACCTGCAAGTCGTTCAACATGCTTTGAGGCAGATTAAAAAAAAACCCAATTTATTCACTATGTTATTCCTGTCTTAGAAACAGCTGACTTATTTAGACAGTTCAATTTTTGCCAGCTAATATGGTTTTCATTGAGCAAGACTGATCACCAGAAAATCACTCTCTAATTGTCAGAATAGACCGACCCGCCTCATTAAACAAATCCAAAACTCATTGTCTTTAAACCATTAAGGCATAAATTCCTTCCTGATGTGGAATAATGTGATAATTTTGTTGGTTTCCAATCAATCTTGATTTCCTCTATAGAAATTTTGTTTTCTCTTCATTTTATTTCCCTTGGTAACCATTTATACAAAGCAAGGTTCTCCAACTTGATGTTGGACTTTATCTCCAGAACAGCCAGGCAACATACCGTTGGCCATGCTTGCAAGGAATTCTGGGAGCTGAAATCCAACACGTCTATAGAGCATAAAGTTCAAGAGAGACTCAACATACATGAATGGCCGGGCTTTAGCTGTATGGTTATGGCCATCATCTTGACTATAAAGTTCAGGGAGAGTTTCCCCAAAATTTACTTGTTAAAATTATTATTTAAAGTTATTTGCTGTCCGACTCCCAGCAACTTGCTAAACTTTTATGTGTTCTTGAATCTGGTCCTATGCCTTTGTTTGGGATGAGTGTTTGTTCTCAGAAATGTTTGTTTACAAGAGTGAGCTGTCCCCACTCTCTATGCAGCTTGAAGATTTAACACTCAGGCGGGAAGCAACCTCTTCTCAATATGTCTGGAATAAACTTTTCAATGATGAAACACCTACCAACAAATCAGGCTCCTGGTGGTTCCTTTTTCTTTCTTTCTTTTTTGCAATATTTTATTTTTATCTTTTAAAAATCATCTCTATAGGTGAACAACATGGTTCCAGGTTTTTACATTTCAATACAAACATGGCAATTATTACATATGCAATATTCATATTCAATTTCATATCATATTATTACTTGTTCCACTTTTCTTTAAATATTCTCCCACATTGTTATATTCATTGCATTCCATTTATCCAATTTCATTTCATATTGTAGCTTATTTTCATTTTTCTTTTAAGTATTCTCTTGCCTAATTTTACAATATCATATAAGTTCTTATTCAATTTCTATACTCGTTACGTACATTTTCTTATATCCATCACATTTGCAATTTTTTTAACATATTATTATTCCATTCATTGTTTCTTAGGATTCATCTTAAATCTTATTATACAAAAGTGGCTTTCTTTTTATACCACCATCTTACTAAACAGGCAATGGTCTCTGGCATCACCGTAGGAGAGAAGAAGGAAGCAGGTAGATTCCAAAGGAATGATATTTCACACACCACTGGTGGTCCATGAGAAAATGTTGGTGGTCTGCAGAAAAATTATTTGCATTTTTTATATTGCACTAAATCAGGGGTCCTTAAACTAGAGCCCCATGGGCCGGATACGTGCAATGAACATTGGTGTTGCTGCAGAGAGTCTCCCCCTTTGGGGTCTTTGTGCAGGTCAGAGGGGGGCAGAATT